TTCCTGCCTCAGCCTCCTGAATTGCTGAAATTACAGGTGTGTGTCACCATGTCCAGCTACCAGACATTTGTTATTACTTGGCTCCAAAATGAATATAAACTCAATTCAGTTAATAACCCTTCTCATTCTAAAGATACTGCTATGGAATTGTGGTGTTTTTTTTTTTTTTTTTTGTTCTGGGGATTGAACCCAGGGGCACTCAACCACTGAGGCACATCCCAGCCCTGCTTTATATTTTCTTTAGTTGCTGAGTGCCTCACCATTTCTGAGGCTGGCTTTGAACTCGCAATCCTCCTGCCTCAGCCTCCTGTGCCACTGGGATTACAGACATGAGCCACCACAGCCGGCTGGAATTGTGTCTTTTAAAATATAGTCAAGGACTGGGGATGTGGCTCAAGCGGTAACACGCTTGCCTGGCATGTGCGGGACTCTGAGTTCGATCCTCAGCACCACATAAAAATAAAGATGTGTCCACCGAAAACTGGAAAATAAATATTAAAAAAATTTTTTTAAACTGGAAAATAAATATTAAAAAAAATATTTTCTCTCTCTCTAAAAAAATAAATACAGTCAAACCAGCTGCGCATGGTGGTGCACACCTGTATTATCAATGGCTCAGGTCCCTGAGGCAGGAGGATCAAGAGTTCAAAGCCAGCCTCAGCAACAGCAAGGCACTAAGTAACTCAAATAGGGTTGGGGATTTGGCTCAGTGGTTGAGTTCCCCTGAGTTCAATCCTGGGTTGCCGCCCTCCCCCCAAAAAAGTTAAACTAGGCCAGGCATGGTGGCTCATGCCTATAAACCCAGCAATTTGCAAGACTGAGGCAGAAAGACCATCAAGTTCAAGGCCAGCCTCACCAATTTACTGAGCCTATCAGCCACTTAGCAAAACACTGCCTCAAAATTAAAAGAACTGGGGGCTGGGGATGTGGCTCAAGCGGTAGCGCGCTCACCTGGCATGCGTGCGGCCCGGGTTCGATCCTCAGCACCACATACAAACAAAGATGTTGTGTCCGCCGAGAACTAAAAAATAAATATTAAAAAATTCTCTCTCTCTCTCTCTCTCTCTCTCTCTCTCTCCTCTCATTCTCTCTTTAAAAAAAAATCTTATCTTGGTAGATTTAAAAAAAAAAAAAAAGAACTGGGCCTGAGCACAGTGGTGTATGCCTGTAATCCCAACAATTAATTTGGGAGGCTGGGGTGAGAGGATTGCCAAATTCAAGGCCAGCCTCATGAATTTAGTGAGAGTCTGTTTCAAAATTAAAAAAAAAAAAAAGAACTGGGGATGTGGCACAGTGGCACAGAGGTTAAGCAGCTGAGAGAGAGAGAGAGAGAGAGAGAGCAAGAGAGAGAGAGAGAGAGAGAGAGAACAAACGAACTGGGAATATAGCTGTGGTCAAGCATCCCTGGGTTCAATCCCAGTACCAAATAAGTAATAAAAAATATAGGTAGATAGATTTAATTTAATATAGTTAAACAAGATACAGAGGTGCACACTGGTTATCCTAGCGATTCAGGAACCTGAGACAGGAGGATCACAGGTTCAAGAACAGCCTCAACAACTTAGCAAGACCCCATCTCAAATTTAAAAATTAAAATAAAAAGGGTTGGGGATGTATCTCAGTGGTAAAACACCCCTGAGTTCAATCCCCAATACAAAACAGAAAGAAGCAGAATAGGAGGAGGAAGGGAAGAAAGAGGAGGAAGAAGAAGGTGTTGAATGAGTAAATAAATGAATGTGTGAATGGGACTGGGTATGTGGACTTGGTGTACTGCTCATGATGGTACAGCACTTGTCCAGCATAAGCAAGGCACTGGGTTTCATATCCAGCACTGCAAAAAAAATGCTCATGATACATTCCAAAGGTTCCTACAAACACCCATAGTCTCTCTTAGCACAGATTTTCATTTTGTTTTTGTACTGAGGATTGAACCCAGGGCATTTAACCACTGAGCCACATCCCAGCCCTTTTTATTTTTATTTTTTAATTTTGAGATAGGGTCTCACTAAGTTCCTTAGGGCCTCATTAAATTGCTGAGGCTGGCTTTGAACTTGAAATCCTCCTGCCTCAGCCTCCTGAGCCTCTGGGATTATAGGTGTGAGCTACCATGGCCAGCTCATTAGCACACATTTTGCCTCTTTCCATGAGTCCAGGTCTATGCTGTTCTTCCTGGAGAGGGGACATAACAAAAAGTGACAAAAATGAATGAGCATGGGCCTTGTGGGAGCAATGCTAAACCGACCATCTAGAAAAAATTTGAACATCAGGCAGTATGCTCTGGTGAGGAGGTGGGCAGTGCTCTAGGAATCAGGAGAGCACTGTGCTATGTGGTCTGAATGTGTACCCCCAAAGTCAAATGTTGAAATGTAATCATCAACAGATGGTATTTGCAGGTGGTACATTTGAGAGGCAAAATCCTCATTCATTGGATTAATGCCCTTATAAAAGACCTTTCTTGCCAATCTATCTTGTGATAATACAGAAAGAAGGCACATGTATGAATCAGGAAGTGACCCTCATAAGAAATCTGCCAGACCCTGCCAACGCCTGGATCTTGGATTTCTTAGCCTCCAGAACTGTGAGAAACATATTTCTGCTTTTCTTTGTCCTCTGATACTGGGCATTGAATCCAGGGGCACTAGACCACACTAATCCACATCCCCACACCCTTTTCTTTCTCTCCTTTTTGCAATACTGGGGAATTGAACTCAGGGCCACTTTACCACTTACATCCCCAGCCCTTTTTATTTTTCCCCCATTTTTAAATTTTGAGACAGGTTCTTGCAAAGTTACCCAGACTGGCCTCAAACTTGCAATCCTCCTGCCTTGGACTCCCTGGTAGCTGAGATTATAGGCATGCCCCACCATGCCTGACCACTATTATTAGTTATAGGCCACCTGCTCTGTGTTATTCTGATATGGCAGCCCCAATAGACTAGCACAGGCAGTAAGGAGAGGGAGCTGAAGGAAGAAAATCAAATGATATCATTGAGGAGGAAGTAAAGTTTGATTATTCCAATTTAGTTTCTCAATTTCAATGTAATAACAATTACATTAATACAGATTATACATGGAAGAGTCTGACCTGTTACCTTAGAGGTCAAATGCTGATAAGTAGGATACATACAAACACTTCCACCTCAAGAAATTCGTTATTTACATGTACTTATTATTACAAGTGATTAGTCATTTGTTGGGAATTACAGGACCCTTGGACACTACTTGTCCCCTTTTCCCTGCTCTCACCTCCTGGATCCTGGTCCTCCATTGAGCTTCCCTCAGTCATGTATTCTTTACCCTAAAGACTTTGAGCCCCTGTCCTTGCCTCTGCTTCTGCTAATCTCCTTCATGTACAGTAAAAATGCTGTGCTCTCCAAGGAGGTGTAGAGTAGTTGTAGGACAGAATAATGACTCATACTTCTCTATTTCCTCCACAGTGCCTGGGTGAGATGGAGAAAATTGTACAATATGTATGTGATTGTCTTGTCCATTATGAACTTCTATAACAAAATACCTGAGACTAGGTCAATTACTGAAAGTATTCTACACTTTATTGCAGTGCTGGGAATTAACCCCAAGGGTACGCTACTACTTAGCTACATCCCTAGTGCTTCTTAACGTTTTTTTTCCTCGTGAGGGTGTCCCTAGGTTGCCCAGGCTGAACTTGAACATGTGATCCACCTTCCTCAGCCACCTGAGCTGGTGTGTGCCAGGGCTCCTGAATCTGAGACTGGGTAATTTATAATGAGCAAAAATTTATTAACTCACAGTTTTGGAGGCTGGAAAGTCCAGTATTAAGGTGCTGATAGCTGGTGAGGGCCTTGCTGCATCATACCATAATGGAAGAGCAAAAAAGAAAGTAAGGGAGTGAGAAAGAGGAGTTGAATACATCCTTTTCTAGGATACCCACTCCAATGGTAAAGAACCCATTCCTTCCATAACACATTAATCCATTCACTTCACCCTCGTGGCTTAATGTGAGGTCCCATCTTCCAACACTGTTTCGTTGGGGATTAATTTTCAAACATACACTTTGGGGGGAAACCCATTCCAATCTCAGCTGTACAACTTAGTGAAATCCTATCTCAAAAAAAATGAAAAGGCTGTGTATGTAGCTAAGTGATAGAGTGCTTCTGGGTGCCAGCAGGTCTGTCTACCAATACCAAGAAAATATACATTTCGAAAATAACCTATGACTAATAGTTTTTAATTACGACTAATCGTTTTTAATTGTTCTTTTTTTTATTTTAAAACAAACTTAATATAAACTATTTCAGTCCCTCTTAACATGTATGACACTGACTCAAAATACTTTTATACCATTTTTTCAAGTATTGCACAATATACGTACAAAATTAATATTTACGATTATATTTTCTTCCATAATATATAGCAAAAATCTTTAGACCTTTAACAGAAAATACATTTTTTTGAAAAAGCAAATATTTGTACACTTTAATTCTGCCATTAAAGGAATATTTTGTACATAATTTTTAGAATAGTTGATATCTTTAAGATGGATATTTTACAATTTCAGTAAAAAAAAATACAACATGAAGCTGCTGCTGTCACAGATCACTGTAGTAAAAAGATATAAATGCAATACCATGTCGTAGAAACAATATATATATATATATATATATATATATATATATATATATATATATATATCCTCTGATATTTTACAAATTTTGTACTAAATTAAATTGCACAATTAGAAAAGACCAATAAACCCACTTATTAGTGGTAATTTTTTATAAAAAAAAATCAGCCATGTCCTTGCTATATCTTACATATTGTAAGAGGCCATATCTGAGAGTATACTTTAAAATATACAGTCAGTATAAAATAACTTTGTGCTTGGTTGGCAAATGAAAAACGATTCATGTTTTATTTTTGTAACCAAGCCTGAATGTATCCTTACTATAAGCTTAAAAAAAAAATCTCAAGGAGGTGCAAAAAAAGTCCTCTTGCGCCCGTGCATTTTAACTGGTACGACACACTTTTTTGTTTTCTTAGTTAGCCATAACAGGCTGGAATTGCTGGTTAGAATACTGTACGTTATTTAAGCAAAATTTAAGCCACCTACAAAAGACTTCTCGTTGAGGTCACCATAGGCCTCAAGTACATCAAAGGCATTACTGTACTGAAGTTAAGGGGGCTGTCACCTGGGAACATTCCATTAGTACTGCCACCTTGACCCTGAATATTAGGAAAAATAAATTCCTTGGCATTAGGAGAAAGAGCAGAGGTTTTCTGCTGTTGCTGCTGCTGTGGTGGCGGCAGCGGCTGGGATGGTTGCTGCTGCTGCTGTGGCTGCTGCTGGCTACCCAGGCCCAGCCCGTACAGAGAGTGCATTGAGGAAGAGATGGCTTTCTGCTTCAAGAGGTCATTCACATTCAGGCCGAGGTTGATAGGAGAAGTACGCGCAACCTTGTTGCTCCGGCCACTATTCTTCATTTTGGTAGAGCCGAACTTGGTGGCAGCAAAAGTGGCAGTGGTAAAGGTTAAAGGCTGAGTGGACCGGGGCATGAAGGTAGGGCTTACAGCAGCAGAGTGTCCAAAGGGAGGCGATGGAGAGCTGGACACTGAAGAGGCTGGGTCATTTATGGGCATAAAAACCTGGGCCTCTGGGTTAAAGCTGTTTTTGATTTCCTTATCCAACTCACATCCATTTTCATTATTATCATCCACATAAAGCACCTTCACTGGTCCCTTTTCACCAATTTGGTAGGAAACCTCAAATGGGTCGATCCAAACACTAAGATCCTCTGGCAGATTGCTACGAACATCGTCAATATCCAAACCACTCTCTTTGGATGCTTGTTCAATCACTGGATCCACTTTCTCCCCTACATGTATACATCTAAACCCTGATCCTTTGTAAGGCTTTTCAGGATACCAGTGCCCTTCATATTTCTTCTTAAGAAGTCTTTCAAGCTCTTCACCAAAAATGTTGACACGTCTCCTGGGAAGCTTATTGTACAAATATGAAATAATAAAATTCAGTGCTACTTGGATTTCAAGCTGCATAGCTGCTATGCCACAAAGTTAGGTTTGTTTCAACTCCTTCACCAAAAAAAAAAAAAAAAAGAAAGAAAGAAAGAAAGAAAAGAAAAGAAAGAAAAAGAAAGAAAGAAAAAGAAAAAAGGAAAGAAAAGTTCAGTTTGTGGCAAAGAAACAAATTCTCATTCAAAGTGCTGGTATTATAGATTATCCTTCACCTTGAGTGGTCTTGTTCGGGCTGCATCCGCCACAGACCCACGGCTGGGCTGCTGAGAAGAGGAGGCAGGGCGGGGGCACAAGAGGGTCGGGAGCGCCGAGCTGGCAGGGTGCAAGACGTCGTCGCTGCCGCTGGACGGGGAACGGAGGCCTCTGGCGGGCCTTAGGAGATCGCCCTTCCTGGCTCGGGGTGGCGAGGATCACCGTCAGGTGAACGCGCTGACTTCACACAGCCCGATGCCCTGGACCCACGTCCCGGACCCGCGTCCCGGTACTCGCCCACTCCTCGCTGGGCCAGAGCTTCGCTCCTTCTGCCGCGGTGCGCGCCCCGCCTCTCGTTTTATATTCTCCTCCCTGCCCCCCATCCCCTCTGTGGGGGTGTGCGCGCCCGTTTTGTGTTCATTTTTGATGATCATTGGCAGGCATTTGTTTTCTATTTCCTAGGTTTGTCTGTGAGTCTATGCATAAAGATTCTCAGCGTGAATGCAAGTTTCATGAGCAAACACAAAAATTATAGGGAGATTTAGTACAGGAAAAAGCCAGACTTGAGCCATGTATCCATGTGGATCTAGTAAGGAAGATGTTCCCACATTCTCTTGCCCTATCAGGTGTGGGCAACTGCTCTTCGGAGTGGGTTTCGTCTGTATAACGAGATATATGAGATTATCAATTTATAAAATGAACAGGTTTATTTTAGCTTAGTTGCAGAGATTCCAATCTAGATCAGGCAGACCCATTGCTATTAGGCCTCCTGTGGGGGTGCAGGATGTAAATGGTGAAGAGCACATGGCAGACCACACCAGCTCACCTCAAGCTCAGGAAGAGAAAAAGAGGAAGGGGTGTTCCCTAATCCCTGTTGGGATCACACCACCAATGGCCAAAAGACCAAGACTCCACCTCCCATAAATTCCATCACCTCCCAATAGCACCACCCTGGGGACCAAGCCTTTAACACATGGGCTTTGAGAGATTCAAGATCCAAACTATTAGCAGGCTTGGTAACACACACCTATAATCCTGGTGGCTCCAGAGGCTGGAACAGGAGGATTGACAATTCTAGGCCAGCCTCAACAATTTAGTGAGGCTCTAAATAACTTAGTGAGACCCTGTCTCAAAGTAAAAAATAAAAAGAGCTGGACATAAAGCTCAGTGATAAAGTGTCCCTGGGTTCAGTCCCCCAGTACCAAAAAAAAAAAAAAAATCCAAAATATAGAGGTCCATTTACATAGCAACTACAATGATCCTTTGTTTTCTTTTTTGTTCTTTTTTCTATTTTTCATTTATTTTTAATTATTTATATGTATTTTTATTTTTTTGATACTGGGACTGAACCCAGGATGTCCCTTCAACCACTTAGCCACATCCCCGCCCTTTTTAAAATATTTTATTTAGAGACAGGGTGTCTCTAAATTGCTTATGGCCTTGCTAAGTTGCTGAGGCTGGCTTTAAACTCACTGAACTCCTGCCTCAGCCTCCTGAGCCACTGGGATTACAGATGTGTGCAACTATGCCTGGATTTTTATTTTTTATTTTTGTTTTGACTGTCTTTTTTCTCTGAGGAAACAAGATTTTATTGGGGTTGAGGATGTAGCTCAGTGATAGAGCATTTGGCTGGTATGTGGGAGAATCTGAGTTTGATCCCCAGCACCTCAAAAAAGAAAAAGTAAACTTTTTATGGCATGATCTGATGTTGAATGGGAAACATTGGTTACAGTATCCAGGCCTAATTCATGATCTCGTGTAACATGGTTAATTGTGGCCCACACAAAATTTGAGTGTGTGTGTTGCACTGAATTGGAAAAATGAAGGTTTTTGTTTTTGTTTTCTTCCTACTGGGGATATAACCCAGGGGCAATTTGTCACTGAACTATATCCCAAACCGGGCTGGGGATGTGGCTCAAGCAGTAGCGTGCTCGCCTGGCATGCGTGCAGCCCGGGTTCAATCCTCAGCATCACATACAACAAAAAAAACAAAGATGTTGTGTCCGCCGATAACTAAAAAATAAATATATTAAAATTCTCTCTCTCTCCCTCTCTAACTCCCTCTTAAAAAAAAAAAAAAACACTATATCCCAAACCATTTTATTTTGAGACAGAGTCTCACTAAATTGCTTAGGGCTTTGCTAAGTTGCTGGAGCTAACCTTACATTTTCAATCTTCTTACCTCAGCCTCCTGAGTTACTAGGATTACTTGTGTGCACCACTGTGCCTGGCTTCAAAATGGAGATGTTAATTTGAAAGGTAATACATTTTGAGGTACATTATAAATAATTATCCCTCAGCATTCAAGGAGGATTGGTTGCAGGAACCCCCACTGATACCAAAATCTGCAGAGCTCAAGTTGCTTTAAAAAAAGGCATAGTATTTGGAGTTTCCTTATTTTTTTTTCAGTACTGGGGATCAAACCCAGGCATGCTTTATCACTTTATCACTGAAGTACAATCTCAGCCCTCTTTATTTCTTATTTTGAGACAGGGTTTTAACTTGCAATCTTCCTGCCTCAGACTCCCAAATTGCTGGAATTACAGGTATTAATCACCTTTTCCAACAAAACAGTATAATATTGTCATATAACCTATCCATAGCCTCCTATAAAGTTTAAATAACAATATTATGTAAATAGTTACTATACTACATTATTTAGGAAATAAATTATAAAAAAATCTGTTCATGTTCAGCACAAATGCAGGGTTTTATTCATTCATTCATTCATTCATTCATTTCAGGGATAGAACCCAGGGTAGCTCAACCACTAAGCCATATCCCCAGCTCTTTTTAAATTTTTTTTCTTTTAAGACAGGATCTCACCAAATTGCTCAGGGGCTTGTTAAATTGCTAAAGCTGGTTTTTAAATGTGTGGATCCCCCTGGATTGCTGGTATAAGTGTGCACCAACACACTAACACAAATGCATTAAAAAAAACAAAAACCTGTTCAGGGACTAGGGATGTGGCTTAATGGAAGTATGCCTGCCTGGCATGTGTGAGATCCTGGGTTCAATTCCCAACACCACAAAATACAAACACATTTTCAGCCTATAATTGGTTGAATCCATTTTTGTGGAACCAATGAATGTAGAAGGCTGCCTGTTCTATTACACAACAAATTGAGTGAAATTTTCATGATAAAGCAGTTTCAGTGGTGAAGAAATCTGTATTCTATAATTGGTTGCACTGCAATTGGAACAAGTGTCAGATTTATAAGAATGGAAGTCATAAAGATGAAGACCTACTGTGTGTTGTGCCTTTATAGATCTTACTAACAGTCCTAAAAGCTCATATGCAATGTTATTGTTAGCTTGGTTTTACAAATGAGAAAACTGAACCTTGCAGATGAAATAACATGCCCAGGGTGAAAGTGATAGAGTATTCACAGAAGTCTTTCCATTAGTTCTCTTTACTATATAATAAATTACTCCAGAACTAAGCAGCTTTAAACAACTCACATTTATTGTCTACAGTTCCTGATAGCTAGGTGCAGTGATGCTTGCCTGTAATCTCAGCAGCTAAAAAGGCTGAAGCAGGAGGGTCATGAGTTCAAAGCCAGGCTCAGCAAATTAATGAGGCCCTAAGCAACTCAGCAAGACCCTATCTCTAGATAAAATATTAAAAAGGGCTGGGGATGTGGCTCAGTGGCTAAGCATCCCTTGGGTTCAATCCCCAGTACAAAAACTAAAACAAACAAAAACTAAAACAAACAAAAACTATAGTTTCTATGCCTAAGGAGTCTGGCCAGAGATTAATTGGGTCCTCTGGCTCTGGATCTCACACAAGGTGGTCAGGAAGGTGCCAGCTGGGGCTTTGATCTCATCTGAAGACTTTACTGGTAAAAGATACAGATCCAGGGGGGATAGCAGAGGATAGAAAGGGCAGGAAAATACAACATACACTAATATTGCAGTATGTAAAAAAGTGGATGTGTAACCGATGTGATTCTGCAATCTGTATACGGGGTAAAAATGGGAGTTCATAATCCACTTGAATCAAATATATGAAATATGATATGTCAAGAGCTTTGTAATGTTTTGAACAACTAATAATTTAAAAAAAGGATTCAGATCCAAGATGACTCACAGGATTGCTGGACCAAAGGACTCTGTTCCTTGACACATGGGCCTCACCATGGGTCAGTCATACATGGCAGTTAGTGTCATCAGAAAAAGCCAACAAGAGGGCCAGAGAGGCTGGGAGTGGTGGTGCATGCCTATAATCCCAGTGGCTTGGGCAGTTGAGGCAAGAGGATCATGAGTTCAAAGCCAAACCTGGCAATTTAGTGAGGCCCTCAGCAATTTAGTAAGACCCTGTCTCAAAATAAAGTTTTTGTTTTAAAAATACTGGGGAGGGGGCTGGGGATGTGGTTCAAGCGGTAGCGTGCTCGCTTGGCATGCGTGCGGCTTGGGTTGGATCCTCAGCACCACATACAAAGATGTTGTGACTGCCGAAAATTAACAAATAAAAAATGTTAAAAATTCTCTCTCTCTCTCTGTGTCTCTCTCTCTCTTTAAAAAAAATAAAAATGCTGGGGAGGGGCTGGGGATTGGCTCAAGTGGTAGAGAGCTCACCTAGCATGCATTAGGCACTGGGTTCGATTCTCAGCACCACATAAAAATAAAATATAGATATTGTGTCCACCTAAAAATTAATAAATAAATATATTTTTAAAAAATGCTAGGGATATGCCTCAGTGGTTAAATGCCCCTGGGTTAAATCCCTGGTTCAAAAAAGGGGGGTGGGCAGAGAATGGCAGCAACAGGGAGAGAACACTAACATATCACAAGCCAGTATTTTGAAATCTAATCATGGAAGTGACATCCTGTAACTTTTACCACATTCCATTGATTAAAAGTTCGTCACTAGGTTCAGCCTACACTGAAGGGGAGGAAATTCCACAGGGTTGTGATTGTCAGAAGGTGGACTCATTGTGAGCGATTATAGCTGCTGCTGATTACAGTCCTCTTCCTGGCTCTACTGTTAAAGAATTTCTTCTTGTTCTTAGGAAAGAATAGATAATAATTAGGTGGGCGCTATTGGTGCACACCAGTAATCACAGGGATTTGGAAGGCTAAGGCAGGAGATTTGCAACTCTGTAAGCAGCCTCAGCAAATTAGCTAGACCTTGTCTCAAAATAAAAAACAAAAAGGACTGAGGATGTGGCTCAATGTTAAAGAAGAGATTGTGATTAGTAGGTATACTGAAGAACTTTAGAGGTTAATAAATTTTTAAATTTATAAAATAGACCATAGCTTTTTTGTTTTGTATTGGAAATTTAACCCAGGGGTGCTCTACTATGAAGCTACATACCCAGCCCCTGTTTTAAAAATATTTTTAGTTGTAAATGGATATTTTATTTATTTATTTATTTTTATGTGGTGCTGAGGATCAAACCCAGTGACTCACACATGCTAGGCAAGCACTCTACCACTGAGCTACAACCCCAGCCCACTTTTTATTTTTTTAAATGTTTTTAGTTGTAGATGGACACAATACCTTTATTTTGTTTATTTAGTTGTGTTTTTTTTTATGTGATTCTAGGGATTGAACCCAATACTTCATGCATGCTAGGTAAGCATCTTACCACTGAGCTACAACCCCAGCCCTTATTTTTCTTTTTTTTATTTTGAGACAGGATCTCATTAAGTTGCTAGGGCCTCAATAAGTTGCTGAGGCTGGCCTCAAACTTGCAATCCTCCTGCATCAGCCTCCCTAGTCTCTGGAATAACAGCCATATACCATTGCACTTGGCTAGAACATATATTTCTTAATTAATGAAAATCACTAATGAAGACAAATTATATATGTATACACATACATATATATAGTTATCATAGAAAAAGTAAAATATGTGATGGGTAATTTTATCAAAAGTCATGCATGCCCTGTCTTGAGAGGTACAGGCTGGAGGATCACAAGTTTGAGGCCAGTCTGGGCAACTTAGTGAGACCCTGTATCAAAATTTTAAAAAATTGGGCTGGGGATGTGGCTCAAGCGGTAGCGCACTCGCCTGGCATGCGTGCGGCCAGGGTTCGATCCTCAGCACCACATACAAACAAAGATGTTGTGTCCGCCAAAAACTAAAAAAAAAAAAAATATTAAAAAAATTCTTTCTCTCTTTAAAAAAAATTTAAAAAAATAAATGGGCTGATGATGAGCTCAGTTGTAGAGCACCTGTTGGTTGAATCCCTAGTACAACAACAACAAAAAATGAAAATAAAAATATTACGTGCCCAAAAGTACACAGCAAGCACCATACTGCATAGAAGAATTTTAGATCCAATTCCTTTAAAACTAAGAAGAAGGATACCCAGTCACTACTGCTAACTGATAAGCCTTAGCAAGATGGCCAATAATTGAAGTTAGCAAAATAGCCAGTAATTGTAGTAACTTTCTACACTAACATATATGAAGAAATTTATTGTTTGCTATTAACACCTACAGGTTCTGCTCCCCTGGTTGAAACCTGATGATACACAGGGTAAGGAGAGATGTGTAGTCCATAGTCCCAGTTACTAGGGAAGCTGATGCAGGAAGATTGCTTTAGCTCAAGTATCCAAGAGCAGCATGGGCAATAGAAAGACAATGTCTTCAAAATTATAAATAAATAAGAGGGGCTGGGATTATGGCTTGCCTAGCACAGGTGGGATCGGGGTTTGAGCCTTAGCACCACATAAAAATAAAGGCATTGTGCTATGTCCATCTACACCTAAAAAATAAATATTAAAATAAATAAATAAATAAGAAAGATACAAGATGTGGGGAAAAACCAGTTTTTTTTCCTGCTCTCAACCATCCAACACAACACTCTTACACCAATCTATGTGGGGATTGTTAAGCAATCATTTCTGCCATTGACACCAGCTGGGTGTCCTCTGGTTAATTTCATTGTGACTCTACTGTAGATACCTTTAGATTCCACAGGTTGAGGATTCAGTCTCACAAGACTGATGGCTACTTAAGATCCTAAAGAACAGGTTATGATCTGTGCTGCTTAAAAACCACCTTTTATTTGAATCATGACCCATTCCTTTGGTTCAGTTAACTTGCTTGAGCAGCACAGGAGCTCAGAGAAATACTTATGTTTAATTTTTTATTACCAAGGATTTTATAAAGGATTCAGATGAACCAGCCAGATAATAGAGATGCACATAAAATATGAGAGAAGGGGTGTGTCATCCTCCTGAAGCCCCACATGTCCACTTGCCATCTGTGGAGAAGCATCCAGGACCAAGTACTTTTGAGTTATTTAAAAAAATTTTTTTGTCGCTGTAGATGGACAGTGTGCCTTTATTATATATGTTTGTTCTTATATGGTGCTAAGGATTGAACCCAGTGCCTCACACATGCTAGGCAAGTGCTCTGCCACAGAGCTACAGCCCCAGCTCACATTTGAGTTTGAATGGAAGCTTCATTACATAGTCAGGATTTATTAAATTACTAGCCATTGGTGTTCAATTTAACCTTTGGCTCCTCTCCCTAAACTGGAGGGAGTTCAAGGGCAGGATTAAAGTTCTAACCCTCTAATAAGTTTGGATCCCCTGGCAACAAGCCCCCACCCTAAGGCTGTCTGGGATTCCCTAAGTACCCATCATCTCATTATCATATAAAGGCACTTATCACTTAAGAAATTCCAATGAGGGTTAAAGGCATACCTCAGTGGTAGAGCCTTCTAGAATTCTGGAAGTCCCTGTGTTTGATTCCTAGTAAACCACCACCAAAAGAAAGAAATTCCAAGGAGTATGTGCCTAAAAATGGCTAAATATTTATAATATTTGTTTCACAATGTCACACAAGATAATAAAAGCAGCATGGTATTGCTACAGAAAAGGGCCAGTGAAAGAGTAGGGAGGTCAGTGTAAGACCCCTGCATGGACTGAAACCAAACGTGCATAAATGACAGCACAGATCAATGAGTAAAGCATATACTTTTCAGTAGGTGGTGTGGGAAAGTGGCATGAACTGAAATAAAATACTAGGTTCATACATTATACCACCAACCACAGTAGATTCTGAATGGATTGAAGACCTAAATGACAAAGATGAAATTGATTGAAAGAAATGTAGGAAAGGGGCTGGGGATGTGGCTCAAGCGGTAGCGCGCTCGCCTAGCATGCGTGCGGCCCGGGTTCGATCCTCAGCAGCACCACATACCAACAAAGATGTTGTGTCCGCCGAGAACTAAGAAAAAATAAATAAATGTTAAAATTCTCTCTCTCTCTCTCTCTGTCCCCCCCTCTCTCTCACTCTCTCTAAAAAAAAAAAAAAAAAAAAAAAAAAGAAATGTAGGAAAATATAATGTAGGAGAGGAAACAAGTCTTCAAGAAAATGTTAAAAGTGCCAAGGTGTAGTGGTACAATCCCAGCTACTCAGGGGGCAGAGGCAGGAGGATTGCAAGTTCAGGGCCAGTCTCAGCAACCTAGCAAAATTTAAAAAATGAAAAGTCTTGAGGATATAGTTCAGTGACAGAGCACCCTGAGTTCAATTCCCAGTAGTCCAAATAAAAATAATAATAATTTCTAGTATTCTTACTGTATGTAGCTCACTGATTGAAAGAGTGCTTACCAAGCATGCAGGAAGACCTGGGTTCCATCCCCAGCAATGCAAACACACAAACACCACAAAAAATCTACTTAACAAAGCAAAATTGTAGGCAAATTTTAAAACCACATTTCAAAATGGAAGATATTAAAAGTATATAAAGCTATGGAGATATTCATATTTCAAAATTTCAAGGAATTCTTGAAAATCAATTTTTTCTTTTTTGTTTTTTCTGTCTTTCTTGGTACTAGGAATTAAACCTATGGGTGCTTAACCACTGAGTCACAGCCCTTTTTTATTTTTTTATTTTAAGACAGGGTCTCGGGCTGGGGTTGTGGTTCAGGGATAGAGAGCTCAACTAGCACGTGTAAGCCCTGGTTTCGATCCTCAGTACCATATAAAAACAAAACAGGTATTGTGTCCAACTACAACCAAAAATAAATATTAAAAAAAGACAGGGTCTCACTAAATTGATTAGGGTATTGCTAAGTTGCTGAGGCTGGTTTCAAACTTGCAATCCTCCTGCCTCAGCCTCCCAAGTCACTGGGATTACAGATGTACACCACTGCGCCCAGCATAAAAGACAGTAATCTCAAAAGAAAAATGATCATGGGATATGACAGAAGATAAAACCAAAAGAAGATGGCCTGGGGGTATAGCTCAGTGGTAGAGCACTTACCTAACACGTAGGAGGCCCTGAGATCCATCCCTAATTAAAAAAAAAAAAGAAAGAAAGAAAGAAAGGAAATAAGAGAAACTTCAAAAGCCAAGCAAGTGCATGAAAAGATGACTGAATTCAATAATCAGAGAAATGTCAGTTAAACTGAGGGACCAATTAACACCTATCTGACTGTTAAACCTATGGGGCTTGGGTTGTGGCTCAGTGAGAGAGCTTGCGTAGCATGCGTGAGGCACTGGGTTCAATCCTTGGCACCACATAAAAATAAAAAACAAATAAAATAAAGGTATTGTGTCCATCTACAACTAAAAAGAATATTTAAAAAAAACATGAAAGCTAGAAAATGCTGGGCAAGGTGTTGCACATCTGTAATCCTAACAGCTCTGGAGGCTGAGGAAGAAGGATTGAGAGTTCAAAGCCAGCCTCAGCAACTTAGCAGGGCCTTAAGCATCTGTCTCTAAATAAAATATTAAAAAGGGCTGGGGATGTTGCTCAGTGTTTAAGTGCTCCTGGGTTCAATCCCCCAAATCCCTGGTACAAAAAAAAAAGGCACAGAAAAATGCTCAGGGAGGGTCAGTAGAGACCAAGGAATAGGAATGTAAACTGAAAGGGTCCCTCTAGAACAATAACATGATGTTCTTCACCAAGTGGAGGATTCAATACCCTCTGACTCCACTGGTTCGCTTCTGGGTGTACATCCCAAAGCACAATTCCTAGGGGTCCATCAAAGAGCAGTCTCTAGTGGTACAAAGAATTAGAGGCAGCCAGAGCAATCATCTATAAAGATAGGATAGTGCCAAAGGGCAAAATTGCAAAATATTTTTTTTTTGGTACTGGGGATTGAATTCAGGGTGCTTTACCACTGAGCCACATACCAAGCCCTTTTTACTTGTATTTATTTACTTACTTTTTGGTACTAGGGATTGAACCAAGGGACGCTCAACCAACTGGCCATGTCCCAGCTCTTTTTATTTTTTCTTTCTAGATAGGGTTTTACTAAATTGCTTAGGGCCTCACTAAGTTGCTGAGACTGGCTTTTAATCTGGAGTCCTCCTGCCTCAGCCTCCTTGAATAGCCCTTTTTATTTTTAATTGAGACAGGTCTTACTAAATTGCTTAGGGCCTAATTTGCTGAGGCTGACCTTGATCTTGTGATCATCCTGTCTTAGCCTCCCCAGTTATTGGGATTACAGGCACGTGCATCCAGTGAAAATCTGTGTGTTGGTGGTACCAGGGATTGAACCCAGAGATGCTCTACCACAGAGTGACAATGCCAGCCTTTTTTATTTTGTTTTATTTATTTTGGTACTGAGGTTTGAACCCAGGGACATTTAACCACTAAGCCACATCCCTAGCCCCTTGCTAAATTGCTGGGCCTTGCTAATTTGATGAGGCTGGCTTTAAACTTGAAATCCTCCTGCCTCAGCCTCCTGAGTTGCTTAGATTACAGGCATGCACCACCACTCCTGGTCTAATTTCTTTTTGAAACATTTATTTTTTTAGTTGTAGGTGGACACATACCTTTATTTTATGTGGTGCGGAGAATCAAACCCACTGCCTCACGCATTCTATGCAAGTGCTCCAACTCTGAGCCACTCCCCAGCCCTTCCTACGCCTGGTCTAATTTATTGTTTATTCTGAGATAAAGTCACACTAAATTGTCCAGGCTAGCTTTGAACTTAAAATCCTCCTGTCTCAGCCTCCCAAGTTTTGTGATTATAGGAGTGTATCACCTTTCCCAGATCCATTTAAAATTTGTAATTGGCTTTAATTGTGACTCGTGGGTAATACTTTTTTTTCATAAAAGCATAATTGTTCCAATGAGCTAAAGAAAGAAGGCTGGTTTATAGGTACAGAAAGGCTGAAGAAAGCTGAAACCAAAAAAAAATCAGATTGTTCATTTCAAAGTTACTTTTCTTGTACAGCAGGGACAGGGAGAAAGAACAGTGGAAAAATAACTGATTGGATTTGGGCCCAGTGGTGTACGCCTAAAATTCCAGCACTAGGGAGGATAAGGCAGGAAGACTGCAAAATCAAGGTCAGCCTCAGTAACTTTGTGAGGCTCTAAGTATCTTAGTGAGATCCTGTCTCAAAATTAAAAGCTAAAAAGGGCTGGGGATGTGCTTCAGTGGTAAATCGCCTCTGGGTTGAATCCCAAGTACCAAAAAAAAAAAAAATTGGATATCAGGTTACTTTAGATTAATTTTTTGTGGAAGGATTAAGGCAAGTTGAAACTAAACTTTAAATCTGATCTACAAGAAATCAGGATCACAGAGATAAAAGCCAAATTTCTCAAAAAGGCTACTTTCAATTGGCATGATAATGTAATTCCCTCTGCCTTAATCTTTACACTCAGAGAAAAGTAACCTAAGGCCTAGGGATATAGATCAATGGTAGAGCACTTGCCTAAATCACCTGGGGCCCTGGGTTCCTTCCCCAGCACCACAAGACAAAACAAAATGAAAAAAAAAAAAAACTTTCACTAGTTAATGGCATAAATGGGGTTGAGAATGTAGTTAGGTCGAGGAGCACTTGCCTAGGGAGCACAGGGCCCCGGGTTCCATCTGCAATTGTAAAGACAACAATAAAGCCACTCCTAAGGCAAGGGCCTGAGGGCAAAGACCTCTTGAACCCAAACACCATCCAATGGTCCACCCTCAAATGCCATTAATATATGAATTTGGAGATTAAAATTCCAATACATGAATTTGAGGAACACATTCAAACAATAACAATACCCAAAGATTCTAATATTTGGAAATCAATCATATACAAATGGAGGGATAGCCAGAGATGGAGAACATGAGGAGAGTAAGAGGGGGGGGAAACTGTGGATGCACTGGAATGTCCCAGGAGAGGGCAGAGAAGTGACTGCTGCTTTGGCAAGATTGTTACTCATCAGTGATTTTGTTAACAGCAGTCTCAGTGACAGAGGCCAAACTGAATTAAGTTAAATATGGTCTAAGACATGAGGAAGTAGACATTGAAGGAAGCCAGAAGATTGGCTTTGCTGAGGAGTCAAATGCCTAGGAGGGTATATGGGGTCAAAGTGCACAGGTAAACATTTCCATGGCTGTTAATGATACATGAGCTGAAACAACCTAGATGTCCATCAATGAGGGAACAGCTGAACAAAACTATATTTATAACATGGAATATCATGAGCCAGTTAAAAAGATGAATTAAACAGATGTTCTTATAATTAATCAGGCATCAAAACAATACTTCAGGGGCTGGGAATGAAACTCGGTGATAGAATGATTGCTTAGTACATGCATTGACCTGTGTTCCATCTCCAGTCCCACCAAAGAACAACAAATAAAATACTTTTAGAGAAAGAGTAGGGTGAACATGGTGGTGAATGCCTGTAACTCCAGCTCCTGCGGAGGCTGAGGCAAGAGGATCACAATTCAAGGCCAACCTGGGAAATTTACCAAGACCATCTCCAAATTTTATACACACACACACACACACACACACACACACACACACACACACACATATATATATCTGGGAATGTAGATCAGTGACGGAACAACCCTGGGTTCAATCCCCAGTACCAGGGGGGAAAAAAGGTATATTGCATTAGTGTTAGTATTCTGATTGTAACAATTTATATTTCTTAAAATTGTATGAAACCATTCTTGTCTCAAAATTTTTTAAGTTTAAGAAATACTTCCATGGGCTGAGATACAGCTCAGATGGTAGAGTGCTTGCCTCGCATGCACTAGGCCCTGGGTTCAATTCCCAGCACCACACACACACCAAAAAAAAAAAGAAAAGAAAAGAAATACTTCCAGCATGCACATAATTTGGAAGCCTTTTGGTTTCTACAGTAAGCATTCATACCTTTTATCGTCAAAAAACTATTTCTCATTTTGTAAATAAAACAGGACCAGAGGTGCAGTGAGGAGAGTATAATTCCATCCCTGAGTTTCCTTGACCAAAGAGATAAAGGCTTAACTTTCAAGGTCTCTAAATCCGCCTGTGCCCCAAGCCTTTCAAGCCACCTCCCTAAATCTGAGACCACTCCTAAGACAAACAGCCGGAAGCTACTCTAGCCCAACTCGGAGGACCAAGTCTTGTTCGCCTGGAAGGTTAAAAGCCTCTGGCTATTTATGGGTTAAAGAGTTGCTTGCTGGGCCCATTTCCGCTTAGCAAAGGGAAGGCCCTCTCTTCCCAACCCCTTCCTGGTTCCCACGCCCTCGAGCAACCTTGCCCTTGGGTATCCTCTGTCCCCATAGCCGACCTTCCTCTGCTCCCTGAGCCCTCCATGGAGGACCCTGGTATCACTCTGGATGCTCGAAAGACCCGCAAACCGGACGAGAAGGGTTGTGCGATCGAGTTGTCTGGCCAGGAAGTCACTTCCGGTCGCAGACTCCCTCCCCCGGAAGCGGGGCCTGATGTAAACACCTGAGCTGGGCACCAAGGCCCGGGAGGTCAAAAAGCCGGGCCGCGGGCGGCACCGACAGCGAGGCCTGGGGTCAGGAACGCACTGAAGTCAGGTCGGTGAAGGCGGTGGGAAACTGGAGCACATCCCAGAGCTAATCGGGGTCACGGGGGGTGGGGTCTTGAGGAGGGTTCTTAGTAGGTTAGGGATCTGGGCCAGGGGTCTTAAAGTGAGTGCTGGTGTTGCAAGGGGTATGAGAGGAGTCTTAGAAGAGGCCTGAGGCATCCCGTGTAGGATTCTTGGGTGGTGCTGGTACTTGGAATGGATGGAAGTCCAAAAAAGGGGTCTTGGAAGGAGGAGCTATAAAAGTATAGGTCTTGGGGGAGTGAGGCTGTCAGATGGAGGGGGGAAAGGTAGGAGACTTTAGAAGATGGGCAGGGGAGTGTATCTAGGTAGAGGTCTTGAGGGAGATTGGATTTGAAGGGAGGACGGGGGCTCTTTAGGGCAGGAATCTTGGGAGGGGAGGAACCAGAACAGGCTTTTTTACAAGGTTAAGGTTTTCTTAGGAAGGGGTTTTGGGTGGTGTGTCCTGGGAACAGGTTTTTAGGGTTAGCTGTTCCCTGGATCAGGGTCTTGGTGAGAGGATAGAGGGTTTAGAGAAGCACTATTAGGGGGATAGGGTGCCTGACGGTGGATCTAAGCCAGTTCAAGTAGGAGCCAGGGACAGCAGAGCACAAGAAATCAGATGTTCCAGGAGTGGAAGATTAAAAGTGATACAGGAATACTGAAGTAGGGTCTTCAGGTCATAATGGGATCCAGGGGAAAGTCTAAGCTGGCCTTGGTAGGCAGAGTCTGCAAGGTGTGAGAAGGAGTTGGGGAAGGTCTGTGAGGGAGAAAATTGTGAGAAGATTTAGATATATGAATGAGTTGCAGTAGAGTAGGAAGGGCATGAGGGAAGTTCCTGTGGGTGGTGGACCACACACTGCAGTCAGTCTCAGGAGGTGCAAGAATCAGTAAATCTATTTGACCCCTTTTCCCCTATATACTGACAGTCAGAGTTGGGTGCTGTATGCATGTGTGAAGATCAGAAGTGGGTAAGCAGTGGTTTGAGGCCACCTTAAGATTGGCTGGAGGTAGGGAGGAGGTATCACTGGGGCGTCCCCTACCACATTACTTCCTGTCAAGTCAGTAAGGGTCAGTGTCTAAGGAGGAGGTACAAGGACTAAGTCAGCATAGGCCTGGGTCTGGGATTGTGAAAATATGTGTGAGACAAAACAGGGTTCCTGGCCATTCTGTTTGGGGACTTTGGAGCTTAGAGCAGAGACTTTAGGACTCTCCTCCCATTTTATCTTCTCTGTAGTCTGGTCGAGAAGTTAGCAGAGTGGGGAGGAGAAGAAATCACTTAGGGACAGAAGTCCTAGGGTGTGGAGGGGAGATCCCAGGACCCTTGTCAACTCTATACTATTGTATCTAGGGGTACAATCCTGAACCATGACTCAGCAGCCTCTTCGAGGGGTGACCAGCCTACGTTTCAACCAAGACCAAAGTGAGTAATGCTTGTACCTATACCCTTGAGGGAGGGGAGGAGAGAAGGGTCAGAGGTGGGCCATAGGCCTAAGCTCCCCTCTCCAGGCGTTCTGGATTCTTTCCATCCCCAGGCTGTTTTTGCTGTGCCATGGAGACAGGTGTGCGCATCTACAATGTGGAACCACTGATGGAGAAGGGGCATTTGGGTGAGCCACTTAGTGGGGGAGGGGTGGTGGGCAGAAGGCTGGGCATTGGCACCTACCTCCACTGACATCCTGGTCCCTGTGCAGACCACGAGCAGGTGGGCAGCATGGGCCTGGTAGAGATGCTACACCGTTCCAACCTGCTGGCCCTGGTGGGCGGTGGTGGCAGCCCCAAGTTCTCAGAGATCTCAGGTAAGTGCCCTCATCCTGCCCTTGACCCAGATTCCTTGGATTCCTGGCCTCCCACAGGAACCTGGGAAGCACTAGCAGATGAAGATGTCAGAGCATCTCAGATTCCCATAGTGAGGCCCACAGTTTGGAAGTTTGAGAAGCTTGATTTTTGTTTTCATTTTTAAAACACTTATTGGGGCTTAGGGTATAGCTCAGTGGTACAGTACATGCCTGAGATGCACAAGGCCCTGGGTTCAATCCCGAACACAACAAACACACTTAACCCAGTGCCCTCTGTGTGCCATGTTCTTACCTATGGAACACTTACTGTGAGCCTGACACTGTCCTAAGCACTTCATCTGTATTGACTCATTTAATCCTCACAGTAACTCTGGTAGGAAGTATCTTGATTCTTCCCCCTCCTATTTTTACAGTGCTAGGGAGAGAACCTATGACTGTCACATTTTAAGCCACACATTTTTATCAATGAGGAAACTGAGGCCCAATGAGGTTGACTTGCCCAAGATCACACAATCAATAGTTTTTTCACACCTTGGTGTTGTCTTTCAAACACCTCCTTGGCTTGAGCCTTAAGTGCCATCTTGTTTTAGGGTATTTTGTTGTCAATCCCACCACAGCATGGGAAGAATTGTCCTAGGTGAGTCACAGAGCCCTAGGATTCCTCACAGAAATCTCTGAGGGGTATGGACTGAGACCCTGGAGGTAGATATGGTTGCTGAGGGAAAGTTATAAGCCTGGGTATGAGCCCCTTCTTGGTTGTTTATGGGCTATAAGGTCCCTGGTCAGACAAAACCCCTTCAAACTCTAATTTCCTCATCACCAAACAAGCATAATAGTTCTAGAACCTAGTCCCTCAGGGACCTTGCCCACAGTGATCATGCTATGCAAAGCTCACATTGGGGATTTAGTGAAAGGCCAAGGGAGTGGGGTAAGGTCCAATGGAGAGAAGGGGTGGGTCCTGTGTCACCAGGGCTGCCCCTCACCCTAAACCTTGGCCCCACCAACCCATCCACCTGCCCAGCAGTGCTGATCTGGGATGATGCCCGGGAGGGCAAGGACTCCAAGGACAAGCTGGTGCTGGAGTTCACCTTCACCAAGCCAGTGCTGGCTGTGCGCATGCGCCATGACAAGTGAGCCTGAGGAGGACTGGGGTGGAGGGCAGGAGGTCCCCAGAGCAAGTGAAAAAGTGAGTTCTATCTGGGCAGCCTGCCCTCCCTCCCCTCATGGCCATCCTGTGTTGTGTGATGCCCACAGGATTGTGATCGTGCTGAGGAACCGTATCTACGTGTACTCCTTTCCTGACAATCCCCGAAAGCTGTTTGAATTTGACACCAGAGACAACCCCAAGGGTGAGAGGACCCAGATATGCAGGTGTAAGGGTGTGAGTCCAGGAGCGGGACAGAGATAGGAGAAAAAGGAAGGGAGCACACACAAAGAATAGGAAGAGGCTCAGCAGTAGCACACTTGTCTGGCATGGGTTCGATTCTCAGCACCACATATAAATAAATAAAATTAAGGCCTATCAACAATTAAAAAATGCTTTTAGAAAGTATCGCTATGGATTTATGAATTGTTTTTTTTTTGAGAGAGAGTGAGAGAGGAGAGAGATAGAGAGAATTTTTAATATTTATTTTTTAGTTCTCGGCGGACACAACATCTTTGTTGGTATGTGGTGCTGAGGATCGAACCCGGTCCGCACGCATGCCAGGCGAACGTGCTACCGCTTGAGCCACATCCCCAGCCCCGGATTTATGAATTGTTATAATTAAAGTATAATAATCTGTGATGTATTTTTAAAAATTAGGAAGAGAGGTCAGGCATGGTGGCTCATGTCTCTAATCCTAGCTACTCAGGATGCTAAGTTCACAGCCAGCCTGGTCAACTTAATGAGACCCTGAAAAGATTGGGGATATAGCTTAGTGGTAGAGCATCCCTGAGTTCAATCCCTAGTACCATGGGGAAAAGAACAGGGAGAAAGGCTTCATGCACAGAGATGCTCAAATGGGCTGAAGGGTGCAGTCTATTCATCCTTCTATTCCACTGTTCTCTCTCCCCACCTTCAGCACTGTCCCATCTCTGGATGCCTCAGATGAGAGCAGAAACACCTAGTGAAGATGTGGGTGGGTGTGTTAGGGAGTCCTGGGCTTCTAGGCTGTCATAGAAGCATATTAGAAACCACAGCTGCTTGGGGGAGGATAGGAATCTGGTGGGGAGAGCAGCTGAACAAAATTCTGCCACCACTCTCACTCTACCCCCAGTTTCTATAGATAACATGTACCCATTATGGAGATTTGAAGTTTGGCCCTTACCCAAATCTGCCCATTTCGAGAGACTGTACCCTCACCTTTCTCCTCTTTGCCTGCCCATCCTTCCTGCATACTCACATCCTAGGGCTCTGTGACCTCTGTCCCAGCCTGGAGAAGCAACTGCTTGTATTCCCAGGACACAAGTGTGGAAGTCTGCAGCTTGTGGTGAGTTGTCCAGTGGGCAAGAATACAGGTGGGCTGGCTCTCCCTGTGGACTCTTGGCTTCTCCCCTCCATGCCATTCCAAGGCTAAGCAGCTCCTTCCTACCTCAGGATCTGGCAAGCACAAAGCCTGGCACCTCATCTGCTCCTTTCACCATCAATGCACATCAGAGTGATGTAGCCTGTGTGTCCCTGAACCAGCCAGGCACTGTAGTGGCCTCTGCCTCCCAGAAGGGCACCCTTATTCGCCTTTTTGACACCCAGTCCAAGGAAAAACTGGTGGAGCTGCGAAGAGGCACTGACCCTGCAACCCTATACTGGTGAGCACAAGATATGTATGG